GGTCCGTAACAGCAGACTTTCCCATGGCAATGAGCCTTTTAATTTCCTGGCTGCTGGTGCCAAGACTGTTGACTGTGGAGCCAAGCAAAGTTATTAGAGCTGATATTAGATACATCTTGGCTGAAAGCAGAGGTATCAGAAGAATGTCCATCAGTGTTTCATTGACTATGAAAAGGCATTTGACTCTGTGGATCACAGCAAACTGTGGCTAACTCTGAAAAGAATGGGAATCCCAGAACACTTGATTGTGTTTATGCAAAATCTATACTTGAACCAGGAGGCAGTTGTCAGAACAGAGCGAGGAAACACAGCATGGTTCAGAATTGGGAAGGGTGTATGCCAGGGATACATCCTATCTCCATGCGTCTTCAATCTATATGTGGATTAGATCATCCAGGAGGCTGGGCTCTATGAGGAGGAACGTGGTATCAGGACTGGAGGAAGACTCATCAACCTGTGTTATGCAGATGACACAATCCTACTTGCTGAAACTGAGGAGGACCTGAAGCCTTCAATATGGATTGAAGCTCAACATCAAGAAAACAAAGATCAGAGAAAAGGAGAGAAAGGAAAGTGTGAGGAATCGTCACCAGTGTCTCAGCCACAGAGAAGGACACAATGCTGGGTGGAGGGTTGAGGAAGGAGAGGAAGACCCTCAACCAGGCAGAGTGACACGGTGACTGCTGCAATGGGTTTTTGTGTGTCAGGAAGTGTGAGGATGGCACAGGATAGAACAGGGTTCAGGTCTTTTGTTCACAGGGTCACTGTGAGTCATACTCAATGGCACCTAACAACAACATGACAAATATGGCAAGAAAGAATTGAATGTGGAGGTGGAAGTTATTTAGATAGTCCATTTGAGTTTGGCTTCACATTCTGTAATTCAGATGAGGTCTTCAGGGAATTTTTTGGTGGAAGAGACCCATTTTCCTTTGAATTCTTTGATCCATTGAGGACTTTTTCGTGAGTCGCAGGAGGCCCCATGGAAGCCAAAGCACAGGATCGTTTTCCTCTGCTTTCAGTGGGTTTCCAGCCTTCAGAGGTGGATTTCCTTCTGTTACACAGGATTTACCTAACTTTTTCCACTGGGTCATGGCGGCCTTACTTCTTTCTCTTCCACGTCCTTTGGGGTGGTGGAGTGGGCAGCTTTAAATCCATATCAACTTGAATGGCAGAAAAATCACTACCAAGAGAATTGACAATGGTCAAGAAAGAGTAGAAGTTGGAGAAGTTGGCCAGTTTAAGTCTTTAACAAATGGTAAGGAGCAGCTACTACACTTGGATAACAAGTAATTCAAAGCACACATTTAACAGAAATGTGAAACTATTACAAGTACCATTTAAGGATTAACAGGAACTTGTTTTTTAAGATTTCAAATGAACTCTTTCAGTATACTTGTACTTAATCTAAAGTATTTACAAACAGTTCAGCAGAGCACCTGTTTGCCATAGACTTTGGAGTTTATTGTTGGGACCACACTAATAGGGCCATTTTTTGTCTTTAAATTATTGTAAATATATGTATGCACTTTGTGGTTTTTTTTTCTTAAACTTAATCCAAGGTTGTGTCATCTGCATAATGCAGGTTGTTGGACTGCAGCCTTCAATATGGATTAAAGCTCAACGTCAAGAAAACAAAGGTTCTCACCACTGGACCAATTGGCAGCATCAGTCTGGATGGTGAAGAGATTGAGATTGTTAACAGCTTCAGTTTGCTTGGCTCCACAGTCAACAAACACTCTTGGTACGAGCAGTCAGAAAATCAAAAGATGAATTGCATTGGAAATGTCTGCTGTCAGGGAGCTCTCCAAGCACTGAAGAACAACGATGTCAGTCTGGAGACTAAGTGCAGCGCGAGTGACTCGACGGCACACACCATCAACTGCAAGCAGCGAGATTTGACTTGCCTGTGATGTTAATGATGGTGTTTGAGAATTTCTGCACTTTGTTGGAACACTTGTTTTTGGAGTGGGAACAAATATGGATCTCTTCCAGTTGGTTAGCCGGCTAATTGCCTTTCAAATTTCTTAGTATAGACTGGTGAGCATGTTCAGGGCTGCATCTGTTTGCTGAAACACGTCAGTTCATTTCCCATAAATTCTTGGGGCCTTATTTTTTGCCCATGCCTTCAAAGCAGCTTCGACTTCTTCCTTCATTATCTTTGCTTCTTGATTCTGTTACTTCCTGGAATGGTGTGATGCCAACCAATTCTTGGTGTAGTGACTGCATACTTCTTCAACTTTTTTGATGAGTCTGGGGACATCATTCAAGATATTGCCCACAGAATCCTTCAGTATTGCAGTTCTGGGCTGGAATTTGTTCTTCAGTTCTTTTAGCTTGATAAATGCTGTGTTCGTCCCTTTTGGTTTTTAACTACAGCTTTTACCACATTTCATTGTAATACTTTGTTTTCTCAAAGTGTTTTTGACATTTAAGAGCAAGTTTCTGAGTTTGTTCTGACATTCGGTTTGTGGTTTGTTTTTTCTTTTGTCTTGTATTGGTTTTTTGCTTTCCTCATTGATTTCATTCCACAACTCATCAGGTCATTAATGTTTAATGCCTCAAACAGTTAATGTGGTCTGTTAATTCAGGTGAGAGAAACTCGGGGTTTTGCTTTCTTCCACGGAGGTTTGAACTTGCATGCAGTTGTAGATGGCCTCTCCAGTCAGGAGGCTCCTGGTCTGGCTTTGACTGCAGCTGAGCTTCTCCCCTAAGAGGAGGTCAGTCGCAGCTCACTAGGGAGCCTGACGAGGCCCTTGCCCATTGAGACCACAGCCTTCGAGGGCCCATTGAGCCGTCCTGCCGGGTCCTGTGGGTCAGAACTTGGTGGCAGTTTTACAGACAGCAAGGCAGGTGGCTGCTCATGGTGGGGACTCAGGGGCTGGGGCAGGCCTGAGGGCCCCTCATGAGCACCCCCCCTCCACCTGCAGGTCCCAGATCACCACGGAGAGCTTCCTGCACCTGCGTTACCAGGGCACCGACTGTGCCCTCATGGTGTCCGCCCAGCAGCACCCGGCCACCTCCCGCTCCCCCCGCAGCGGAGACTTTGGGGCTGCATTTGTGGAGAGGTACCCAACTCCATGACTGGGAAGTGGGATGGCCTGTGGGCTCCTGCTGCCTCCCTCACCCACCCTGGGGGCTGGGGTCGTAGGTACATGAGAGAGTTCGGCTTCATCATCCCCGAGCGGCCAGTGGTGGTGGATGATGTCCGAGTGAGGGGCACGGGCCGAAGTGGCCTTCACCTTAAGGACACCCTCAAATCCCCGACGGGGCCTCCCCGGGTGGATAAGGTAGGTGGCCCCCACCCAGGAAATGGCGACTAATGGAGAGGGGGAGCCTGAGCCCTATTGAGAGCCCAGGGCAGGTGCTGGGCTGTGGAGCTGTGCTGACCTCATGGCCCCACAGATGACCCAGTGCTACTTTGAGGGGGGCTACCAGGAGACCCCTGTGTACCTGCTGGGAGAGCTGGGCTGTGGGCACAAACTGCAGGGACCCTGTCTTATCATCGACAGCAACAGGTAGGCTGAGGCCTGGCTGGGGGGAGGCCTTCCAGGGGTGAGGTCCAGGGTTGTGCAGGGGTGAGGTGTGGGGGGAGGCCCTGCAGGGATGAGGTCCTGGCTGGATGAGCTGTGGGCCTCTGAGGGGTGTCCCCTAGTTGTGGTCCTGCCTTGGGGCTGTGGGGCCCATGGCTGGAGGTGGTCTGGCCTGGCCCCTCCAGCCCGTGCACCCCTCCTCCCAGCACCCTCCTGGTGGAGCCAGGCTGCCAGGCAGAGGTAACACAGACAGGGGACATCCGGATCTCTGTGGGCGCAGAGGCTGCCAGCACGGTGAACTCTCAGCTTGACCCCATCCAGCTGTCCATCTTCTCACACCGCTTCATGAGCATCGCAGGTGAGGGTGTTCCCATGACCTCCTCAAATGTAGGCGTGCAGGACGGTGCACGTCAGAGCATAGGACAGAAGCGGGATTAGGCAATGTGTCTGGTGGATGTGGGCAGAACAAGAGTGAGCCAGAATCCCCCTGGTGACAGCTATCGCGTGGCCCTGGGTGGTCGTAGGCCAGCTGGGTGTCCTCTTACAAACAGCTATGCCTGTGTGCAGGAGACAGGGTTTGAGAGCTCTCCTGTGCAAATCATGGCAGGTGAGGTCCCAGGGGTTGCCACATTCACACTGGGGCTTCAGGCAGTGCAGGGGAAGAGGCTGACGTGGGGAGCTGCAGTTTGGTTTAGCCAAGGACTCAGGGTTCTGCTGATGGAGATCCAGGTGGGCTTGAAGGAGTGACCTGGGGCTGCAACGTACCCTGAGGAAGGGGCTGCCCTGGGGACGGGGCTGCCCTGGGGACGGGGCTGCCCTGGGGACGGGGCTGTGGTGACAGCGCTGACCACTGCCCTGGGCAGCCCTTTGTGCACCAGAGTTAGAAAGGGCTACTGGAAGCTCCTATCTTGAGAGGGGACCCTACAGTGAGGGTGGGGCCAGCGGGCTCCTGGCCACTCTGTGTCCCCAGAACAGATGGGCCGCATCCTGCAGCGCACAGCTATTTCCACCAACATCAAGGAGCGCCTGGACTTCTCCTGTGCCCTCTTTGGGCCTGATGGGGGTCTGGTCTCCAATGCCCCCCACATCCCTGTGCACCTGGGGGCCATGCAAGAGACAGTGCAATTTCAGGTGGGTCAGCCCCTCCCTCCACACCCTCCTGCCCCCTCCCACCCTTGGCCCTTGCCCTGCATCTTCCCCTCCCCCAGTCCCACCCTTCACTTACCCTCTCTCCTGTCTCTGGTCCCTCCCCCCATCCTGTCCCTCATCTCCTCACCCCTTCTTTCGGCTGCTCCCAACTCCCTCCTCCTTGCCCTCTCCAACCCCCATCTTCTCACCCCTCTCCTTTGTCCCCCATCTTCTGGCCACAGATCCAGCACCTGGGAACTGACCTGCACCCTGGGGATGTGCTGCTGAGCAACCACCCCCGAGCAGGGGGCAGCCACCTGCCAGACCTGACGGTCATCACTCCGGTGAGGCGGTAGGGCTGCCCGGTCACCCTGGGGGATGGGGTGCACACCCAGCTGATCACACTTGTTGCCCCTCAGGTATTCTGGCCTGGTCAGGCTCGGCCTGTGTTCTATGTGGCCAGTCGTGGTCACCATGCAGACATCGGGGGCATCACACCAGGCTCCATGCCCCCCCATTCCACTGCACTGCAGCAGGAGGGGGCCGTCTTCCTGTCCTTCAAACTCGTCCAGGGGGGTGTCTTCCAGGAAGAGGGTGAGGAGGAGGACCTGAGGGTGGACAGCTGGTGTGGGTGGATGCCTGCTGGCCTAGGTCTGCCCTGGAGGGTGGGGGCAGACTATGGACTCAGGGGACGAGCTCTGATGCTCAGAGCAACTGGACGGGGTGTGCAAGGGGGCGGCTTTAAGGTGGGCAGGCCTTTGGTGCTCGCGGCCCCTGCTGCCCACGCTAGGGCCTGCAGAGGAGCAGTGGGGATGAAGGGGGCCAGCAGAGTCTACGCCCCTGGTTGGGGGTGCCCAGAAGGGCTAAGGTGGAGAGCTCTGGGCTGCATGTGTGCCATAAGCACCCATCCTGTGTGGTTGTCTGGACGCTGGGTGTGGTTGTGGGTGGGTGTGGGTTGCAGCCGTTGATGGAGGTACCAAACCTTGAACAGACCATGTGTGGGGGCAGCTGGTACATTGGCCAGAGCTGGTATTTGACAAGACTTGGGGGAGGAGATAAGGCTGGTAAGCTATTGTTGGATGGAGGCATTGATGAGGAACAGAGCGAGCTGTAGGACTGAGGGAAATTCAGTGGGAAAGAGAGAGTTGGGCCAAGGCCATCCCTGAGTGAGCAGGAGGACTGGTCACTCACTGGGTCTGAACACAAATGCAGTGACTCAGAGGTTTGGTTGGCCCTCTGGCTCTGTGAGGTGGAGGTGGGCTGTCTGCCAGGTCTGTGGCCCTATGTGCCAGGGCTTGTGAAGATGGGGCTGAGCAGAGGTAGAGGTGGAGGTTGGGCACTCTGGGGGCATGGAAGGAAGTGAAGGGCCAAGATGGACACAGTGTCAGAGTAGAGAAGACCCTTGGGTGGCAGCTCAGCGATGACCCCTCATCCATCAGCGGTGACTGAGGTCCTTCAGGCACCAGGCAAGATCGTTGGCTGCAGTGGGACCCGGAACCTCCATGACAACCTGTCAGACCTTCGTGCCCAGGTGGCTGCCAATCAGAAGGGCATCCAGTTGGTGGGGGAGCTCATTGGACAGTATGGACTAGACGTGGTACAGGCCTACATGGGCCACATCCAGGTGAGCCTGAGAGGGCAGTGAGGGCCCAGGGGCAGGTCTAATGGGTCATGGGTGGTGGGCTGGTGAGAGTCCTGGGGGCATGATGCATGTGTATGTGAAGTGTATAGGTGTGTACGGTTGGATGTGTGTGATGCATGTATCTGTGCTGTGTATGTGTGTACACGTGTGTGTCGTGTGTACATATAGGCAAGCGTGTGGCATGTATGTGTGTGGTGTATGTAGGTGTGTGGTATATGCATGTGGACATGTGTGGGTGTGTGTATGTGTGTGGTGTGGCTGTGGGATGAATAGAGGGAGGCGCTGTAAATGTGTGTGAGGTGTGTGTGTACGCAGGGTGTGGTTGTGGGATGTTTGGAGGCGTGCATGTGTGTGGAGGTTTGTGTGCAGGTGTGGTTGTGGGATGTTTGGGGCATTGTGTGTGTGTGTGTGTACGCAGGGTGTGGTTGTGGGATGTTTGGAGGCGTGCATGTGTGTGGAGATGTGTATATGCGGGTGTGGTGGCATGCTTGGGGCGTTGTGTGTGTGGAGGTGTGTGTGTGTACACGGGTGTGGTTGTGGCATGTGTGGGGCGTCATGCATGTGTGTGGAGGTGTGTGTGTGTATGTGGGGTGTGGTTGTGGGATGTTTGGGGGTGTCGTGCGTGGTGTGTATGTGGGTGTGGTTGTGGGATGTTTGGGGCGTCGTGTGTCGAGGTGTGTGTGTACGCGGGTGTGGTTGTGGGATTTTGGGGGCGTCGTGCGTGGGTGTGGAGGTGTGTGTGTATGTACAAATTTACAGTGACGCATCCGTGGGAGCCTGGGGGTCCTCTGGAAGGAGCTATGAGACAGGTGGATTCCCACTTAGGGGCAGGGTGCTGAGGGCGCAGGCCCACATGGCCTCTGACCCTGGCTTTCTGTCAGGCAAACGCTGAGCTGGCCGTGCGGGACATGCTCAAGGCCTTTGGCAGCGCCCGGCAAGCGCGCGGCCTGCCTCTGGAGGTGTCAGCAGAGGACCACATGGACGATGGCTCCCCAATCCGGCTTCGAGTACAGATCAACCTGGGCCAGGTCAGGCTGCCGGTGGGCGTTGGGGTGCGCCCAGGACCCTGGGGAGGTGCGCTCTGACAGCTCTCTCTGCAGGGGAGCGCGGTGTTCGACTTCAGTGGCACAGGCCCCGAGGTGTTCGGCAACCTCAACGCCCCGCGAGCCATCACACTGTCGGCTCTCATCTACTGCCTGCGCTGCCTGGTGGGCCGCGACATCCCACTCAACCAGGTGCACGTCCCCCTCCCACCCCCTCCGCCCCTGCACTGTGGTCCTGGGTGCAGGGGTGCACTCTCCCCGGCAGGGCGTGGGCCGCTCCCACTCGCCCCTAAGAGCTCTTCTCCTTAGGGCTGCTTGGCCCCGGTGCGCGTGGTCATTCCACCAGGCTGCATCCTGGACCCATCCTCAGAGGCCGCTGTAGTTGGCGGCAATGTGCTCACCTCGCAGAGGGTCGTGGATGTCATCCTGCGGGCCTTTGGGGCCTGTGCAGCCTCCCAGGTGCGCGAGGGGGTTGGTGGGAGCGGGACAGTGACATGGGCGGAGCCTGAGGGAGGCGGAGTTCCCACTTCTACCTCCTCCTCTAGGGCTGCATGAACAACGTGACGCTGGGCAATGGCCACGTGGGCTACTATGAGACGGTGGCCGGCGGCACGGGCGCTGGCCCAGGCTGGCATGGACGCAGCGGTGTGCACAGCCACATGACCAACACGCGCATCACCGACCCGGAGATCCTGGAGAGCCGGTGAGCTGCGGGCGGGCCGTGTGGGGCACCCTGCTCTGTCCACCTGCACTCAGCCCCTCGCCCCTCACAGGTACCCTGTGATCTTGCGCCGCTTCGAGCTACGCCCAGGCTCCGGGGGCCGTGGCCGCTTCCGGGGCGGTGATGGTGTGGTCCGTGAGCTGCTCTTCCGAGAAGAGGCACTGCTGTCTGTGCTAACCGAGCGCCGGGCCTTCCAGCCCTATGGCCTGCAGGGTGGGCGGCCTGCAGGGTGGGGACTGCAGGGTGGGGGGGACTGCAGGGTGGGCGGCCTGCACGGTGGGGACTGCAGGGTGGGGGGGACTGCAGGGTGGGCGGCCTGCACGGTGGGGACTGCAGGGTGGGGGGACTGCACGGGGGGGGGGACTGCACGGTGGGCTGCATGCACTGTGAGCATTTTGGTACTGCCTCCCCACCTCACCCCTTAACTGCCCACCCCCACGTCATCCACAGGTGGTGAGCCAGGAGCACGGGGCCTTAACCTGCTGATCCGTAAGGATGGCCGCACCGTGAACCTGGGGGGGAAGACGTCGGTGTCTGTGTACCCAGGGGTAAGGGTCGCACCCTCCTGGTCCCCACAGAGATGCAGAAATAACCAGGAGCTTTTAATTTGCCTGGAGAGAAAGGGCACCGTGCCTGATGGCGGGGAGGGGGCGTCAGCTGCAGCAGCGCTAAGCCTCGCCTTGACCTTGCAGGACGTGTTCTGCCTACACACGCCAGGTGGAGGCGGCTATGGAGACCCCGAGGATCCCACCCTGCCGCCGGCTTCTCCTCCTCAGGCTCCAGCCTTCCCCGAGCGCGGTAGCGTGTTCGAGTACCGCAGGACCCAGGAGGCTGTCTGAGGCCCGCAATAAAGACCCCTGAGGTCATCCATCTTTGGGTGTTTGCGTGGTCAGGTGTCTGGGTCAGGAGGGTGCCGCCACTCGGAGATGCAGGCCCACGGCCAAGTGGTCTGTGAGCCCCGCCAGTGCAGTGCTGAAGGTCACCTGGTTCACTTCCTGGGGGCAGGAATCAGGCTAAGAGGGCCAACCCACCCTCTGGTCCCTCACCCCAGCTCCAAGGCACTCACCAGGCTCAGCGGGCTTTCAGGAATTCCCCGGTACAAAATGTAATCTAGGCGCCTGCCCCGCCAGGGCTCGGCCAAGGGGCTTCCTGGAGCACCAGCAAGGTACAGGCGACGGCCCTGCTCACCTTGTAGGGCTCTGGGGAGAAGGGCTGGTATTATCAAAGAGCAGGCCCCTGCCCTCTACCTCGGGACTTGGCCCACGTCCACTCACCTGCACAGCATCTCTGGGGAGCTGGCTTCTGTGTGGTGGAGCACGGGGTAGCTCAGCAGTGTCCCTGGGGGGAAGTGGCATCAGTGAGACATTCAGGCCCTCCCCACCCCGCCCCACTCTCCCAGGGACCCTCCCCACCCAGCTCCACTCTCCCAGCAGTACCTAGAGCCCATGGCTGCTCTTGCCGAGGGCCCAGCCTGCAAGGGTCCTGGAAGCGGCTGAAGAGTTCATGCTTCTGCTCAAGTGTGTCCTCTGCAGAGAGGCAGTGCTTGGTTGGTGGCCTGTTGTCTGGGCCCCTCCACACCCTGCCCCACCCCAGTCCTGCCCACACCCCTACCTAAAGAGCAATTGTCAAAGTTCAGATCTCCCAGGAGCACACTGAAGGCCACAGTCTCATCACCCTGGCGGCTGTCAGCCTCGAACTGCTCCACCCAGTCCAGCAGCAGTGACAGCTGCTCGCAGCGCACTGGCCCATCCTCTGTGAGGAGAGCAGGCTTAGCCTGGGTTCTGCTTGCGTCCTGGAAGCCTGGGTCTGGAACCTGGACTCCCCAGGGCTTTCCTCCAGACTTTCAGAGGAGGGCGCGGGATGGGGCTGGGAGGTGGAGGCCAGGGATGGAAGAGGGCAGCTCACCACTGGGTGCATGCAGGTGCGTGCAGTGCAGGAAGCCTACGATGGGTCGCCCATTCAGAAAGCCCAGCTGCACCTGCAACACCATGCACGGCCTGGCTCCTCTCTTCCATCTAGCCCCACACTGGTCACCTCCCCAGCCAGGGTGTCACCTTCCCGGACAGGGCGTTTGCAGCGTGAGGTACCTGTGCTGACAGCAGCCCTTTGGAGGCCAGCGCATCCTCGCGGCGCCCATTGGGGAAGGAGCGGAAGGTAGCCCGCAGCAGAGGAAAGCGCGAGGCCAGCAGCAGCCCACTGCCCAGCAGTTTGAGGTGTGGCCCGGGCTGCAGACCGAGCATGCCCACATCATACAACACTGGGCCCAGGTTGGGCGCCAGGCGGCGCACAAGGTGGTTCCCAATGCGCAGGTCGAACACTTCCTGCAGACACACAAAATCCAGACCCCCGGGTACCGAGGCCTCCAGCACCCCGAGTGGCCCTCCAGCTTGCTGTGGCCTGCGGTCTGTGGCTCCGTAGAGGGAGGCCCGCAGGCCTGCGAGCAGCACAGTGCCCAGGGTCTGCGCTCGCCGCTGGCTGTGTGGCAAGTTGCTGAAGCGCGCTAGTCCATCAGGCAGCAGGCACAGGTTGGCGCTGAGAAAGCCAAAACTGCGTGTGGGCTCCATACTCGGGTTCCAGGGCCCGGGCGGCACCCAGCCAGGTGGAGGGGGCTGGTAGCAGAAAGGGCGTCGCCACACCTGCAGAGGCAGCCAGAGCAGCAGACCCAGCAACGCCCAGGGCAGGCAGAGCAGCAGCAGCAGGAGCGCCGCCCCAGCGCGGGCCCGTCCGCAGCCACCCGAGCGCGTGGCTGGCGGGGGCGCCCAGTAGCCCAGCAGGTGGTCCAGGGTCCAGTAGGCCGGGAAGAGCATTAGGCGGGCCAGGCTGTGTAGACCGTGCAGCACGGCGTGTGGAAAGGGAGAGGGCTGCAGGGCGCCGGCCGCGGGCGGCCAGTCCGCGATAGACTGCATAGTGCGCAGCGCTGTCGGCTGCGGGACTTCGGCAGCTCATTCACTTGAGCATGCACACTTCCTTGTCAGTAGGTCTTTTGCGGACGTGGGAACTGCAGGGAGTCACTAAGTCAAGACCACGTGGCACTGCCGTGCCCCCCACCCCCATCCCGCCTGGGCGCACCAGAGCAGGACGAAGCAAGGCACCCTCGTGTACGATTCCTGGGGGAGAGCGCAGTTTAAGGCAGAGCTGGACGCTGAAGGAAGGCGTCCTCTTTACCTGGACGAAGAACTTCGCTCTTGCCGGAGAGCGAAAGAGAAAGCAAAAGAGACCCTGTCTCATGCTCCGCCCCAACCTTCTAGACACGCCTCCTCTCCCAAGATTACGGAGAGATGTCCCATTAGACCCTTTGGGAGTGATGGGCCCCCTTCACGTTGGAGCTGCCACTGTCCATGTGGTCAGAAGGTAGTAGTCCAAGCCCTCAACAGATTTTGTCACCAGGGATTAGACTGGAAGTATCTGGATTATCTGGATTGGCCTCCCACCCGAGTTAGACCCCAGAAGACCAGCCCTCAATGTTGGCAGCCCTGTAGCCCTTCTGGTCTGAAGGGAGGGAGCCCTGGTCTGGCCTGGGGCTTGGCCAGACCCCATAAGGCAGAAAGCCCAGGGCCCCTTCCACTGAGCCCTCAGCCCTCAGCTTGCACAATCGCACACAGGATGCCTGGGCTGCCTCCAAAGGTACCCGACAGCCTCTTTGCCCCTGCCCTCCCGTGGGGCTAGCCAAAGACGGCAGGCGCCAGGGCATTTCTTTAAAGGCAGGGAGTGGGGAGGGGGAGAGTCCCTGAGGCTGCAACCTGGGCCTCATGGCAAGAGGCCCCTCCCCTCCCCTGGCTGCCCAGGCTTCCTGCCCCTCCCTGCAGCCTGTGAGGAGGTGAGGTGTTCCTCTCCGCATGGGTGAGGCATTCTGAGCCTAGGCTGCAGACTTTCCTGCCCTGCCCCCAGGGCTGTGTCACACCAGCTCCCTGCCTCACCCCGCACCCACGTCTGTGGCCAGCTCCTAACTCCATTTCCGGCCCCCACACCTTTCTCCTCCACCCCTGCTCTCCCACTCCACACTTGTCCTTCACCCAGCAGGTGGCGGCCCTGAGCCTTCTCCCTGCATCTTCAGAGTGCACCCCCACTTTTAGGACCTGGGGTCTGGCAATGGGCCCCACTTCTTTGGGATTTCAGTGTAACTGTTAGCTCTCCATTCCCTTCCCTCCCCTCCTTCCTGTCCCCTCCCTGGAGGTCCTAGTCAGGAGGCAGCCCCCCACACCACATCTTGTCTCCCTCCCCAGGTCTCAGTGGATCCTGCAGGTTCTGTGGAGGCCTGTCTTCTGCAGCCCCCCTGCTCTGCACCCACAGACCAGGGACAGCTGGACACCCCTGAGTGAACTTGAGCATTGGGTCTTCATGGATGAAACTCACAGTGAGCCTATCCCCAAGGACAGGCAGGACCGCGGGGTGCCAGCGAACCCCTTAGAGGAGAACAAACCAGGGTGTGGGTGCAGCCCAGTGGCCGAGGCCCTGTGGGCTTTAATGACTGTGTCACCAGATGAACATGGGCTTGCCGTCGTCGTGTGCCAGCTGGCTGAGGCAGGAGAGCAACAGCAGCGCGTCAGACAGCATGTTGGGGTGCACAGTCTCCACCAGCACCCGCTGCAGGAAGTCCATGGTGTAGCAGCCCCCGTCGGAGGCCGCCAGCTCGGGCCGCTCACGCAGGATGCCGTAGGCGTTCACCAGCTGCTCTGTCAGCGCTGGGTGGATGTGTCCATTGTAGCCCAGACTCTGCAGCCGGTTCATGATGCTCACATAACGCTGGGTGAGCGTCTGGCACAGGTCTTCATCCAGTTTGTGGTCATTAGGGTTCATGGAGGCCTGGGGAAAACACACTTGTCAAGGGGAGCTGCCCAGGGGGACACTCCTTCTTCAACCCTCTTCTATCACCCCAAGGGCTTTGGGGCTGAGCTGAGGGAGGTGGGGACAGCAGGCAGTGGGAGGTGCAGGGCTAGGCTCACAAGCTCTCAGGGCTCCCTGACTGTCAGCCCAGGAGGCACCTCTGGGCGGCCCCCCTCCATACCCCTCCCTCAGCCTCCTTTCCTGTTCCCTGCTGGGGCTCCCCAAAAACACTGAATTGACACCTAGGCTCAGAGTTCAGGCAAGGGAGGGAAAGTGCCCCTGGTTCTCCACTGTCTCTCTTGACAGCTTCTGTCACTCTCCACCCACTTCCAGGCAGCCCTGGAGGCACCCCTGAGCCACAGGGCAGCTCCTAGGGACCCTCCCTCACTGGACTCAGGACTTTCTGATCAAGAGGCTGCATTTCCAGGGCCTGAAGTGCTGGTGAGTAAGGCCCCTCCCTCAGTGTGCCCCACTGCCCAGCTCTTGCCCTGTCCCTCAGCCATGCTGTTTCCACTCTAAGTTGCCCAAGTTCCTCAGTGTCACCTTCACAGGAGGAGGTGCCCTGTCCCCATCCCAGGCTGTGCTCATTGAGCCAGGCAGATGGAAGTACCTCTCACTGACCACCCCCATCACCTAGGACACAACTCTCCAACTTCAAAATACTCACAGCCCCCAATACTTATCCCTGTCCTCCAAGCCCAGGCCCAGCCAGCAGGCCACGGCACACATTTACGGGTCAGTGGGCAGTGCCTGGGCATCCCAGGCAGAATGGGAGACCCTCTGAAAGCCCTGGTCCCTGAGGAAGGGGAGGATACTGTTTCTGCATCTCATCCAGGACTTCTAATTGTGCACAGTGACCTGTGAGAGTGGTGCTCAGTGAAGCCGGCCAGACACAACAGGACACAAGGCTTGTGGTGGCACTTAGAGAAGGGGCAGAGGACAGGCAGAGACAGCCACAGATCCCAGGTCATCAGAGCAGAGCTAGGGCAGAGAGGTGTTGCATGTGCGGTGCAGTTGAGGACAAATCCAAGTGTAAATTCCTGCTGAGCGTATTTGCATGCTTACGGTGGCGCACAGAGCCACCAGTGCACAAGTGGTTAAAGCAGGACGTTTTTAGAACGTCTGTTTTACAACAGTAAGAAATTATACGGAGAAAAATGGGTTCAAGAGGACACAAAACACAGCTTATAAACACCTGGACTTGCATGGTGACCAGTGCAGGCTGGTCACTCAGTGGGCACACAGGGCTAAGCCACTATAGGCAGATTGCTGAAGTGTCTCCGTCCCATCATCTCCCAGGGCCCCATCCATCCGGTTCCTCAGATGAGCTCCACTCCACCTGCCTGTGCCTCTTGTACCAACGGTTAAATGCTTGAGCATCAACCAGGAGGGAGTCTCATTGCACTCTGAGGAACACTGGTGGTGCTGTGGTCCATGTATTTGACTGCGAAAACAAAGGTCAGTAGTTTGAACCCACCAGTAGCTGCCAGGGAGAACGACTCTGTGTGTGTGTGTGTGTGTGTGTGTGTGTGTGTGTGTGTGTGATCTGCTCTTGTATAGATTACAGCAAGGCAGCCCATGGCCAGTGCTGTTCTACCCTCCAGGGTCACTGTGAGTAAGACTTGAGAGACCAATGGTGGTGGAGTTAATGTTTCATTTCTTTCATTGGCCTCCATTTATTTAAAAGCAAGGATGTAAAAACAAAAATGTAAGTGCTCAACTTGAAGCAGAAAGAAGGAAACTAGAAAATAGACTTCCAAGATTCAGTGAGAATCAACAGACAAAAACGGGATGAGTGGTCACATCTCGCTTGGGAGTGGAGGGCAGAGCTGAGTGTCACCTGGGAGGTCACCGAGCACGAGCCAATGAAATGAAGCTATGGCTGTGCACCTCCCATCCTGGGGAACCAGGACCCACCCCAGGGGCAACAGACCTAAAATCTGTCCTGTCCTTGGCTGTCATCATTTCTGACACACTTGAATCCACGTTTGCACTGTGTCACTCCATCTTGTTGAAAGTCTTCCTCTCTTTTGCTGACCCTCCACCTTTCCAAGCGTAGTGTCCCTCTCCAAGGAGTAGCCTCTCCTAATAACATGCTCAACATGAAAGTAACCTGCTGCTACCCTGGTCTCCAAGGAGCACTCTGGCTGCATCTTCTCCAAGACATGTATGTTCTCTGGGTAGTACATGGGATGGTCAGTTCTCTCAATTCATCTCCCGTCATCCTTATTCATTGTCCAGCTCTCAAACACATAGCAGGTGACTGAAAAGACCATGGCCTGAATCAGGTGCACCTTAGTCTTTAACTGACATAATTTCTCTTTAACTCTGGGGAAGCCCTTGACAGCAGATTTTCCCAATGCAGCAACTTTTGATTTTTTGACTGCTATAGCCAAGAAGTAGTTCCTTATGGAGCCAAGTAAGATGAAATTTTTGTTGACAATTTCAATCTTTTCTCCATGTGTCTATTGTGATGTTGCATATTGGTCCACGGGTGAGGATTTTTGTCTTCTTGATGTTAAGATGCAATCCATATTGAAGGCTGTATCTTCTGCAGTGAATAGTTCAAGTCCTCCTTACTTTCAGCATGCAAGGCTGTGTCATCTGCATAAAACAGCTTGCTGATGAATCTTCTTCCCAGCCTGATGACACAGTCCTTTTCTTATAGCCTGGCCTCTTGAATGGTTTAGTTGGCATGCAGATTGAATAGCTGTGTAGAAAGGATATAGTCTTGATGCATAATTTTCCTGATTGAAAATCATACGGTGTTCCCCTGTTCTTGTCAGACAACTGCTTCTTGGTCTACATAGAGGTTTAGCATGAGCACAAAAGTATTCTGGGATTCTCATTTGTGTGCTGCCCAGAGACCTGGCTCCTGGCTTTTCAGAAGCGAGAGGGTAGCTTCAAAAGCAGTCTCTGCAGCACAGATAACAGCCCAGTGTCTGTGCAAAGTTACTACTAGCAATGGGTTGTGGTTTGCCCTCAGATAAGCTTCTACAGCAACTGCACAGTTGAAAAGATGAAAGCAGAGATGGAAATAGCAACCTTTCACAATAACTCCCCAAATGAGGGAGTGGAGAAGAAACCTCTTAACCTGGTCTGGAAGACACTGAAACTGGCTCCCCCAGCATCTGTTTATTCCTGCACTTTCTCCTGCCTTCCTGACCTGAATGAGGGTAGAAGCTAACAACCACCATTGTGTTTTAAAAAGATCTTCCAAACAGCTCTAACTCTCTTCTGACCTGAGATGTAGACAAGTAGAAGCATGTTGGTGGGCTTCTGCAGGAAGGTGGACATCTAAAGGAGGACTGTGGGGGAAAAGCAGGACCTGGAAGGGGAGACATGTGTATGGGAGGGGAGAGGAGAACCTGGAAGGGGAGGAGTGTGTATGGGAGGGGAGAGGAGAACCTGGAAGGGGAGGAGTGTATACGGGAGTGGAGGGTCTATGAGGGGAGGGGTGTGGAGGGAGAGCAGGGTCTGGGAAGTAAGAGGGAGACTTCGTTCTTCAGTGAGAAATGGGTGGGATTTCAGGGCCTGCCTAACCGAACTTCTGCATACTGTCCCTGGGGCAGCAGTTTCAATGGCGTGTCCCCTACGAACATTCCTTCAAGGATGGCGATTTTTTCCCTGGCCAAATAGCAAGTAAACCAGGTTTAGAATCTTTCCTGCTGACTCTCCAACTGCCTAAGCAATTATAAGAAACACTTTTTTTGCTAAAATCAGTTGATGTAAGTTCTCTTGTTTGAACCAAGAACAAAGACTGATTTGTCTCATATGGTGGTCTGTCCAAACTCCTGGAACACACATCCTACTTAGTGACGAGACGGAGCCTTCTCAGTAAAGTCAGAAGCAGGACTGAGTGGCTCCCTGGTTGTCTGCGCATGTAATGATATGAAGTGGGAGCTATATAACGATCCTTCATGACTTCAGAAACCCAATAGTTGTGAGAGACTACGGGTGATGTCAGGGCTCCTTACTCCTGTCCCTGTTACGGCGGTTTTCTAGGAGGTAGCCAGTTAGAGGAAAACATCCCCAACAAGTGTTTGCCAGGAGAGAGTGAATCTTTTCAGACCTGCCCCCCTCCATCCGGACTAAGGGGCTCCTCAGCCTGGACACAGGCCAGGCCAGGAGCAAGCACCCGGGAGCAGGAGGTCCATAGAAGCTGAAGCAACAAGGACTTTCCCCCAGAACCAACACAGAGAGGCTTCTCTACAGCTGGTACCTGGATTTGAACTGGATTCCTAAACTGTGAGGTTGTAAAGTCACCCACTCTTCTCTGTTACTGAAACATTAGAAGACTTAATCCCTCACATCATATCTGGTTCTATTAAATACTGCCTGGGAATCTAGGTAATAGAAGGTATGCAAAGATCAAGAAATTACATTAAAGAAGTAGAAAAGAGTGGGAAAATTGTCCTTCTTTGCGGACAATATGATTGTCTACACAGGAAAACCAAGATGTTAGAAGTGGTGAAAAGATTCATTACGTAGGAAATACCAAATAAATGTACAAAAATGAAAAACTAAACACATTGTCAGCAGGCTGGTGAGTGGGGCTCTGGAAGGTGCCAGAAGATGCCTTAGATTTGAGACAGCTGCAATTATCAGGACCAAACACCACCCTCAGTCACGTCTCCCCCACCCCGTGGGCTCACAGCACCTCCCTCTGGACACCTTTGCCATTGGATGAAAGAGGTGACAGGAATAAGCACTGGAAGGCTTAGGCCCCACTGAGTGAATTCTAACTCAGGGACCCTCCACACAACTTAAGGGCGCACACCTTCCTCCCTGCACCTTCCTCACCCCCACTGTCACATCTGAGCTCACTGGGCCAGCCACTGTGTCTAGTCATTTCTTGAGGATCTTCTTTCTCATTGACCTTCTATCAGGCAGGATGGCCTTCTCCAGGGACTAGTCCCTCCTGGTGACATGTTCCAGGTACAGGAGTGGAAATCTCACGTGCTAACAGCTGGGAGTGTTCTGACTGCACATCTGCCAAGAAGTTGGATTGGTTTTCCGGGCATTCGTGCTATATTCAACATGCTTTGGCAACCGAGCTCTGAGGGAGGAATCACTAATACTTCTCGTTCCTTATTTGTTGTCTGGCATGGGAGGCAACGGAAGGACCACAGCTTCTTGCAGGTGAGCTTGAGGTTTTAAGCTTTTAACACTTTAAAATGTTTCATTTTTAAGGTTTTAATCTTTACATTTTAACACTTCAAAGGGATCTTTTGGAGCACAGTTGTAACACAGCTTCTGATCCCTTGACTCTGTGTCCACGAGCATTGATGGCGGATCCAAGTAAAAGGAAATCTTTGACAACTTGAGCATTTTCTTGGTTTATCACAGTGTTACTCATTGTTCCAGCTATATTGTTAGGATCATCTATCTGAGCTAGTATTTTCACAGAATAGCAAAATAATTATTAACAGCAGTGTGAACTGCTGGTGTGACATTTGTAAATGTGGCCCTGGCCAGCCCTCCACGCTACTGCCTCGGTCTCTGGTTTTTGTTTTGTCTTTTGCCCTCCTCCCCTTGGTCTTAATGGAGCGGCTGCCTGTGTCACGCTGGCCTCCAGGCCTGGGGTGTCTGTGAGGAGAAGCAGTTCTTGGACCGTCATTTCAGTCATGCGCTGCAGTTAAAGACGGCGTGTTACACCTTCAGAAGGACTCATTTAAAACAGGGAAAGGACCAAGTGTGTCTGGGACCTTCTGAGAAGGAAGATGTTCCTAAGCTCCAAAGGAAGTGTGGGGGTGGGGGGTGGGGACTCTGGCCCCTTCAGTCTGCTCTGAGAACACACCAAACATTCCCAAACCCGTGAGCACTGCTGCAGCCCCCTGGGCTCTGAGGTGGTAAAGCTTGTGGGAGGGGACTTTGCTGAGCCCCCCTTCACAGAAGCTCTCAGAGTCCAGTAGGAACTATGGCTGTGCAGGTCCAAGCTGGCCACTGTGAGCTCCAGATGCTGGTCCCTGTGGTAGGGATGGGCCCTGGGCCAGGGGGCCCTGGAAAAAGAGGGGGCCTGGAGCAGGGGAGGGAGACACCCAGAGGCCGCCTGCCCACTCCTTTGGCCCAGCGAGAGGCAAAACCTGATTCCTCCCAAAACTGCAGACATCCCCTGGCTACTTGAGAGAAACGTGCTTCCCAAGCCCAGGAACCCCCTATATTTTGTCCAGCAGTCCGGTCTCACCCTTGCCTACCTCAAATTCCCCACCCCGCCCCTCGCCACCCCTACATCCCCTGCATTGCGCCCCATCACCTAACCCACCGAACCCCTTGCTCAACCCTGAGCTCCAGGCCTCCTTCGGCCAGACCCTCCGGCCTGTCCTCGAGGCCCCGCCTCTTGAGCCCCTCCCCCAAACCCTTGACCCACCCCTGAAAGCCCCTCACAGAGGCCACGCCCCTCAGGCCACGCCCCTGAGACAACTCCCTGAGGCCCCTCCTTGAGGCCACGCCCCCGAGGCCTGCTCTGAGGCCACGCCCCCTGAGGGCCGTTCTGAGGCCACGCCCCCAGCCCTCACCTGGATGATCTTCTCCGGGATGTTGGCGACGGTGAAGCCATAGAGGCGCACCCGCTCCGGAAAGATGCTGGACAGTATCCTGCGGTCCAGCTGGAAGGCGATCTCCCCCACCAGCCGCTCCCAGGCCAGCTGCTTGCACTCTGCACGAGAAGGCGCGGTCAGCAGCCCTCCGTGGGGGCGGCGGCTGGGGGCGCGGCGGCCCAGGCCTCTCACCTCGCGGGCTGTCGGAGAACTTGCTGGCTCTGCGGTGGGCCAGCTTCCGCTCCAGCTCCAGAATGCTCTTCCGCGACGTTTCGGAGCGCGGCCCCCGGGCTTCGCCGGCTGTCGCCGGGGCGGCCGATGTGCGGGTGGGGGAGTGGTGGATGAGCCGGGGTCGGGTGGAGGAGTGGGTGGCGTGGTGGGCCACGTGGGTCAAGCTAGAGGAAGCGCAGCTGGGGACAGCAGCCTGGGAGGCGGGCATGGGCGGGGCCCGGACAGGGCTGGGGACAGCCAGCTCCACAGGGCCACTGGACTGGGCTCTGGGGTCCAAGCCGCCGAAGGTGAAGACTGTGGTGGGGCTGACGGGGGTGGACGTCTGGAGCGGTGGCCCCACAAACGTCACACTGAGGGCCTCCAGGTCTTGGCCTGCCCCACCGTGCTCAGCTGACACCAGGACTGGGGACGTGGGGAGGGGAGGGCAGAGGTGGAGGGTCAGAGGCAAGAGGACTGGGTCTTACCCCCTGCCCCCTCCCAGGGCCCCCCAGTCCCTCTTTCCCTGCACCTGTTACCTTTGGTGTGGGTAGCGGACCCTGAGCTCACGGAGGGCTGGGGCCCAGTGGAGGGCCTGCGGGAGGGTTCGGACAGCCGCACCCTGGTCGATTCGGACAGCACGGTGTTGCCCGCGGGGCTGGCTAGCAGGTTCGGGGGTCCAGTCAGAGGGTTTGTTGAAGGTACAGCCAGGGGGCTATTTGGAGTCAGGGGTCTAGTAGAAGGCAGTCCAAAAGTGCTGGACATTGTGCCTACTGGGGGCACCATCATGGGACTACTTGGAGTAAGGGGGCCAGTGGACGTCAGCCCCAAAGAAGTGGTCACTGTGCCCATTGGGGGCACAGCCATGGGACTGGTAGGAGTCATGGGGCTAGTGGACGTTAGCCCAAGGGAGGTGGTCAGTGTGCTCGCTGGGGGCACTGCCATGGTGCTGGTCAGGTGGCCGCTCAGGGGGCCGGTGGCAGGCAGGCCAAGGGAGCTGGTGATCGTGCTGGTGGGGGGCACTGCTCCCGGAGCAGCCAGGAGAGTGACATACTGATTGTCCTGTGACACAGGCCCAGAGCTTGACAGGAGCGCATTGAGCTGGCCAGGCAGGTTGCTTACAATGGAGCCCACTGGGGGACCAGGCTGCGAGTTATTCAGCATGTCAGTCAGGGTCCCCACCCCCATGTCTTCCGGGCCTGGCTGATTGGCTGCTGCTGGAGAGGATGGCAGGAAGACACCTGGAGGGAGTGCAGAAAGAGCTGAGACTCAGGACACCCCACTGAGGCAGCCGGCACAGGGTCCAGTGTTGATTCGCTGGGTGCTCATGGGACCAGTTTATTCCTGCGACCAGTATGGACTTGGTGACAAGCACTCCTGCATCTGAGGGCACATGCTTTGTCCCCTCCTCTGTCCTGTGGGTCCCCCTAGGTCCTTTCCTTTCATCTCCTTTCCCTGTTCAACCCCCTTTTTTCTTCATCTGTAGCTTCCAGATCTTTCTAGCTCAAGTCACTCTTCAGTGTCCGTCTCTGATTCTCTGTTCTCCAGCTACAGGGATGCCCACTCCCCAGGTCCATCGACTGCACTACTGGTGCCCTGTGTGTCCTCACAAGAGGGCATTCCCCTGTAGGATTCATAGTCACCAAGCTGTTCCCTTGTTCCCTAGAAGAATGTCTACTGTGCTCAGGCCTCCTGGTCAACACCCCTGGGGCAGGAGCTCGACCCAAGGCTGTGGGGATTCCCGGGGGAAGTCATCCTACCAGTGTTAGGGTGGGGGTGGAGCAGCTTGTTGGGGAGGAGGAGGTGGGGCGTACAGGGCAGCATGGCGACGGACGGTGGGATCTTTCCACTTGGTTTTTTGCCAAGGGGAAAGCAGGAGCTCTCAGTATAGGAGCAGATGGAACACACGCTGGACAGGACACAGCCTGAACACTTCGTGGTTGGCCCCACAGTGGGAGGACCCTGGAGTGTGTGCTTGCATCCGACTCAGGAACCCGGAAAGCCAGGTGACAAGGAGGTCCTGCACATGTTCCCTGTTGCAGCTTCTCAATGTTGCTGTCACATGGAAAGTGGCTCAGAGAGGATACAAATGAATGACCACTAGGTGCTGGAGTGGCTTTAGTTAACAAAACCCTACATGCTATGTCCAGAGCCCTGTCCTCTGCATCCTGCACCCAGCACCCTGCCCTCTGAGCCCTGCACCCTGCCCTCAGCACCCTGCCCTCTGTGTCCAGCACTGTTTTCTGTGCCCTGCTCCCTGCCCTCTGCACCCTGCATCCAGCGCCCTGCCCTCTGCGCCTTGCGTCCAGCGCCCTGCCCTCTGTGCCTTCAGTGGCCTGCTGTCTGCGTTCAGATCTCTGCCCTCTGTGCCATGCTCCTTGCCCTCTGCACTCTGCATCCAGTGCCCTGCCCTCTGTGCCCTCAGCACCCTGTCCTTTGTGTCCAGCAGCCTGCCCTCTGCCTTCAGAGCCCTGCCCTCTGCACCCTGCATCCAGCAGCCTGCCCTCTGTGCCCTCAGCACCCTGCCTTCTGTGTCCAGCACCTTGTTTTTTGTGCCCTGCTCCCTGCCCTCTGCACCTTGCATCCAGAACCTTGCCCTCTGTGCCCTGAGCCCTGCACTCGCCTTTCAATCACTGCTGCAACCTCTCTGCAGTCCATCTCCTTGACAATCTCCCTCTTTCAGATGAAGTTTCACTTTGGTCTGTTGTAAGGAGCATTCTGGGGGCTTTTCCAAGACAGATGCGTTCCCTCTGAGCCATACTCTGATTTAAAGACTCAAGTCTTCCGTCGTCATTTGGGTGTGCCTATGGACTGCCTCCAGGTAACATCCAGTTCAACCTCTTCTGCTCCAACTGGCCGTGGTCAGAGATCTTTAAAATTGCGTTGTCTGGTCAGCCCTAGACTGTTGCAAATACTGCCCCTCTGTGGACACATATGGTATTACCTCCCACTGTCTGTTGAGCTTTTTACTCAAGCAATGAGCTTGAACTTCAGCTTTCAATCACTCCCGTTTCCCCAACACCCAGCAGTCCTGCTATAGAGTTATTTGCTACTGATTTTCTCTGCAAACTTTCTTTTCAGAGGTCCTTAGTGTGCAAGGCCCAGTCTTTCTTCAAAACCTTCCCGAAAGCTCTGGCATGCTCCGGAAGGGTTACTTAACTGCGCATATTGCGACATATTTTGTTGCTTCATTTGCCTTTTGAGGTCCCAAATGTTTGTCAGATGAATACGTTTAGATTACATAGACAAATCAACTAATCTCTATGGGTCCAATTTTGTTCTGGTTTCACGGGAACTTTTGCTGTAGGAGCCATTGTGAGTGGAAGGGAAGCAGCCCTGGGAAGCGAGATCTGGAAGGGTGGACACAGCTAGGCCAGATGCGGGAGGATGGAGTGGGAGGAGAGATGCGAGATGGCCAAGGGGAGGGCGCGAGCTGGTCCTTCTCAAACTCTGATTCCTCCAAGAAGATCATGGGGAAGGGTAACTGGAGGCCAAGGCCTGCTGGCCAGTGTGGACAGAGGACGGTCCACACCTGGCTCACCTGTCCCTGCACAGCCAGCATCCTCACTAGTACAGGTGAGCAAAGTACTTGCTCACTAACCCACAGCGAGCAGCTTCAGGCTTCACCACGTTCAAGGCCGCCTCTGAGAGACTGAAGGGGAGAGGGGAGAAACGGGCAAATGAGGGGAGGGGGTCACTAGGGCAGCAGAGATTAGTGACCGGATGGGGGGAAGGCTAGACAAGGTGCGATGAGAACTTGACGAGATGTGGATAAAAGGCATGAAGGTAGTAATTAGATAAAGCACAATGGATATGACGATTATAGAAAGCAAATGTGCATGAATGAAACTCAATGTGTACTAATGATTGTAGGCAAACCATAAAACAAATAGAAAAAAATATTCTGGCTTCTAGGTGTGGCTGGCACCTCTCTCCCAAGTTCACAGTCCTTCCCACAGAATCAAAGACTCTTCTCAAACAGCCAGGGGGATTGCTGCTGACCAGACGGAGCCCCCAGCAGGTGGGGGAAGCCCACTCTCACCTGCTCTTCCTCATCAATCTTGTCAACACCTCCACGTGGGCTCCTCTCTGCTCCAGTTCAACACAAAGATCATTAACTAGGACTAAGAAGGTGATATGTGTTCACTTCAGGTGCAACTCACAGAAATGATGATAGAGACGTGAGTAAAGCCAACCGCACAGGGACTCCAGGGAGCATAAAGCCTCATGTCTAGGGCAGAAGGGACAAGGACTGTGGGACAACATCCGTCTCATGCCACCGGAGAGTCTGCGGCTGGTGCGCATAGCACATTGGCTGTTAACCAAGAAGCTTGAGTCCCCCGCAGAGCCTCAGCAGAATGGGCTGCGGCGCACCGGGGAGCAGTTTGGCTCTGACACACACTGGCAGCTATGAGGGACAGGGCCCTGTGCCAGGCACTTGGTGCTTCAGTTCAATACACTTTGCTCTGAGCAATGTAGGCGGCTGTAGAAGCTGGACACTGGTCCTGGTGGGAGAAGCTGGGGTGCAGGGAGGAGAGTGAAACTTTCCAGAGAAGATGATGTTCAAGCAGAGACAGGAGGACCAAGGACAGGAGGGCTGGGCAGGGCCAGTGCTGGGCATTCCTGTCCAGGCCTGTGGTCTGCAGGAAAGTGGCAGATGGCCCCACAGAAAGGCCCTTCTGTTCAGCCATGAATGGTGCAGAAATGGAAGCACCCAACTGCAGAGGACTGTTCCGCAAATCAAGAAATGTCCACCTGTCGTTTTCTATGAAATTATTTAAAGTGCCATTTTCAGAGAGCTCATAAAAACTTTGATAAGAACACAAGGACCAGTTTTACAGCAGAAGTTCCCTGAGGGCAGAGTTCTTCCCAGCCACAGTTCTCCAAGTGCCCAGAATAGAGCTGAGGCCTCACGATCCACTCACTCACGGCCTTCAACTTGGAAAAGACTCCTGCTGACCCTCCACTGGGCTACTGAGGTTGTAAATTAACCGGAAGGCATTGCCCATCTTTCCCCCCCAGGCCACTGGTGGATTCAAACCTTTGGAGACACTTGACAGCTTCCTCACGCCACATTAAGGATTCAGGACATGTGTGTCCATGGGAGGGAACAGAGCAGAAGTGTAGGCAGTGAGGCCTTTGTCCAGCATGTGCTCAGATTAGTGTGACTGGGGAAGAAGAGGTCCCGATGAAGACTCAGAACTAGGGCCCCTGTGATCGTCACTCAAGGTCAGGGCAGGCTGATTGTGCAGGCCTAAGACAGCTGGAGAGGACAGGACCATCTTAGAGGAAGGACCCGCCCCTGTGTCACTTGAGGTCCATCCCAGCAGGAAGGCCGCGATGACATGTCCCCTGTGACTTCAGGACATGGTGTTGGTAAGTGCCTCAGCCACAGTGTCATCAGGGTCAAGGACTGTCTTAGACTGTGTTCTTGAGAGAAGCAAAACCAATCAGGTGTCTGTATCTCTATGAAGGAATGACAACAGACACTTTCAGTGCTGGCCAGTCCCAGGCCTGTGGGTCAGACGTCAGGAAAGAGGCTTTCAGCTGTGGACGTCACCGAGTCCAAGGGTGGCAGGTAAGGCAGGGTTCTGGGTCAAGTCCAGAAGCCGGAGGTGACAAGCCCAGAAACAGAATCCAGATCAAGCAGGAGGCAAGGGAGCCTTGACGCACTTGTCACTCTATCCAGTGCTGGCTACGTCCTTGACCAAAGTCCTTTTTAGCTGGTTGGCTGCTCAGACCAGGTCTCACTGTGCAGATGATGGTCTGTTATACTAGGTCTCATCGAGCGAGTCAATTACATCAGCCTCCATGAAGGGAAGTTACAAAAGAGCTCACCAAGGAATGAGTGACCACCAAATCAGAGAATCACAGGCGAAGGTCAAGTCCAATCAGGGCCATGACCACAGGGTCCTGTCACAGTCTCCAAGACTCTCAGTAGCAGCCCTACCAACTCTGGTTGGGGTCCGGAGACTTCTGTGTCCCCATGGTACTGCTGGTACCTGTGCCTTGACAATAGGGACCAGCCATGGTGGCTGGCAGGTGGGCCATGAGGACAGACCAGGAGAACTGGGCTGCCCAGGGCTCCGCAGTACATCCTGACTTTTTTCTTGATTTTTTTTTTTATTTTATTTTTGCGTGAGTGTACCGTCAAATCAGATCTGACTGGTACAGGAGGAGATTGTCCCTCCTTTTCCCGGCAGAGCATCTGGTGGATTCGAACTGTGTGTCTCTGGGATTGTAGTTGCAGCTCCTTGCCACTAGGCCACCAGAGCTCCCCCCATCCTGACTTTTTTAACTTGCAATTTTGAATTATGCAATTGCTTGATTTATTTAGATTTGTGAGTTGCTGGTCTTCTTGGGTGGAAGAACAGTGCTAGAGTATCAAACACAGCACTGGGCTCGCTACATCCTAAGAATCACAGAGATTCGGAGGGCTGCTATAGCAGGTGCCTGAAACCAAGAGAAGCCATTGCCTTCGTTTTCCAAGTGTGTTTATAGAGTCTTGAATTGTTTAAGGGAATTCCTGCTTTCCACCAACCTGCTCCTCACACCTTCCCTGTCACAGCAAGCTGCTAATTTTGGGGTCAGCCTACACTGCCCCACAGCCCACATCCACTTGAACAGGCCTTGCACCAGGTCCTGCCTTCAGCTGTGGCCATCGGTGCTGCCAACACCCTGGCATCCCTGGGAACCATGACCCCAGCGCCATGCAAGGTGCCACCCCTGCCCCACTGCATTACCAAAGGCACCTCTGACAGAAAGCCGATTGAATTAGTACATCTTCAGAGAACCTCCAGATTTCAGGCTGCATTTAGAAGAGACTGTGCACCAGGAATATAATTGTTGGTGTCAGCTGTTGGCTGAATACCATCTGTGTCTTATTGACTTGCAATGGCGTTTAACTGTAGATCTCAACAATTTATGGCTAACACTGAGAAGAATGGGATTCTAGAGCACTTAACTGTTCTCATGGGAAACCTATATTGAGAACAAGTAGTTGTTGTCTGAACAGAGCAAGGGAACATTTTATGGTTTAAAATTCAGACAGGGATGTGTCAGGATTCCCCCAGCATCCCCCCCCATTCAGCCTGTGAGACAAGCAAATCAATCGGCACTATGAAGAATGTGACATCAGAATTTGAGGAAGACTAGTCAACAACCTGAATTATGAAGATGACACATTACTTGCTAAAAATGAGGGAAACTTGAAAAATGCTTGCTGCAGAAGATTAGACTACAGCCTTCAATGTGGATGTCATCTCAGCATCAGGAAATAAAAAATCCTCACCACTGGGCCAAAAGGTGACATCATGATAGATGAAGAAATAATAGAAATTGTCAATGACTTAATCTTACTTGGATCCACAATGAACACCTTTGGTACTTGAAGCCAAGAAATCAGAAGACGTGTTGCATTGGGAAAAATCTGTCAATGGCCTCTCCAAAGTGTTAAGGAGTAGTGATGTTAGTTTAAAGACTCACGTGCACCTGATTCAACCATGGTCTCTTAAATTACTTGTTATGCATTTGAAAGCTGAACAGTGGATAAGGATGACAGAAAGAAAGAAAATTGAAGCCTTTGGCTTGTGATGTTGGAGCAGAGTACTGAATTTCCCACAGATTGCCAAATGATTTGTCTTGGAGAAAATGCAACCAGGGTGCTCCTTGGGGGCAAACAGGGTGAAGTTTTGTCTTACAATACTTTGAGCACGTTGCTGGGGGAGGCCAGTCCTTGGAGAAGGATAGCATGCTAGGGAAGGTGGAGGGTCAGAGAAAGTCAGGAGGATGTACAAGGAGATGGAATGACATAGTGACGGAAGCAATGGCCTTGAGTATGTCCGAGATGATGAGGATGGCACAGGAGAGGCCAGGGTTCAGATCCCTTGTTCACATGGTTGCTATGGTCTTGTGGACAGCACTGGACTCCAGCCCATAGGAGGCAGAGGCCGGTTGAGAGGGGAAAACACCCGGTGACCTGATGCCCTGGGAGCTGGTGGAGGTGGAACTAAAGGTGGTGCTGCTGCGGAACCAAGAGTGGGGTTGAATGTTGAGGAGGAGCCAAGGACAGGTTCTAACAGCCAGGTGGGCCCTTGCATGGAGGTGGGGTCAAGGCAAGGTTAAGTTCAGGGTAGAACCAGGGCACAGGCCTAACGTGGAGGTGAAACCACAGTCAGGGTGTGGTGTCAGGGCAGAACCAGGGGTCAGTTTTTACGTTTGTGCAAAGCTAGGGTAGGGTCTGTATTGGGGCGGGGCTTGGGCGCTGGGCGGGGCTTGGTGCTGGGCTGAGCCAGGAGTTTTGGTGTTAGAGGCGGGGCTTCTGGTATGGGTAGAGCCAGAGCACCGGCTGGTATTGGGGCGGGGCTTGGGTGATGGGCAGAGTCTGGTCTGTGTTGGGTGGGGCTTCTGGTATGGGTGGAGCCAGGGGCGGGGCTTGAACACTGGGTGGAGCCAGGGCGGAGGTGAAGCGTCAGGGTAGGCAGCTGAGGACTTGAGGACACTGATGGAGGCCCTGGAGGGGAGGACGGTGGGTCAAGCAGCTTCCACATGGGGTGGGGTGTTGACCTTTAGAGAAGGGTGGCCCAGAGGTGAGGTGAGACCTGGCATGAGCTCCAGACATGGGTCTGCTGCAGACCCTGAGGGGTGTGGGGGTCCTGGAAGTGTGGGGCCCTGAGGCCAAGATGGGTCTAGTGGGGAGAAGGGCCTGAGAGAAGGAAGGGGGTTCAGAACACCCTGAGGGAGTGTGTAGGGCAGTGAAATGGGAAGGAGTTATGAACAGTTCTGAGCAGGAGGCAGGCTGCAACTGCCCCAAAACACCTCTGAGGTGGTTGGGGAGGGAGTGGGCTTGATGGGAGTGGGGTGTGGGAGGCGAGTATGGAGTGAACGAAGGTGGAAAAAGCCCGCCAAGGGTCTAGTTGTGTCCTCTTGTCTTGTTTTGATCCCCTGTCTCATCCTGATGGACTGTCCTGTGCTGACTGTTAGGGTCAGAGAGCAAAGGGTACATGGAGAGAGGCTGTGAGGAAGATGTGTGAAAACAGCACTCCGGAGGTAATAACCCACAGCTGGGGACACACTTCCCGCACCCCATGTGCACGTTCGCAGGGGGACCCTGCTCCACACACCTCACTTACACACCCTCCCACCACGTGTGCACGTACACAGCCTTAGCCTTCACCACCTGACCTTCTCATCCCCCTGAAACTCTATCTGCTGACTCTGCTTGAGTCGCTGCCCATGATACCCACTGCCACCTCAACCACCAGCTGTGTCCCTTCCAGAACCTGGCCTGAGCCCTGTGCTTGGACCTTGGACTACTACAAGATCTGCAAGGCTCAAAGGTTCTCCTAAGAACTGGAACAAGGAGAAGGCTTGCAGAGCCGAGCTGGCTGTCTGAGCCCTCCAGTGTGTGTTCCTGGTTGGCCTGTTGTTTCAGGCGCCCGTGTGACCTTTAGGGAGGACGGCCGGCATGTTTGGACTTGGACAGTCAGCGGGAACCAGCTGGAGGAGGCTTTCAAGAGTGAGGAAAGAAGCCTGGACAGGAGGAGGGTGAAAACCGCCTGCAGGCTCCATCACCAGCATGTGGCTTGCAGCCAGCCCACTCCTGGGCTTGGGGGAGCCGGCCATGCACAGCCGGCTGAAGCCATGGAAGTTGAACTGGGTGAGGAGCAGACGAGGCAGGGCTGACCTCGCAGCCAAAGGCTGAAGCAATTGCGATGAGCCAGCCAGCATGGGACAAGCTCAGGGAGAGGGTCATCGAGTTGAATATGATTCATAGCAACCCTGTGATCATCGGACCTGAGCCCTGTCATCCCCGGCCTTCCTCATCTGCGGGTGGCTGGTCCCAAGGCTGTATGGTGGCCGAGAAGGCCAAAGCTCTACGGGTCACCATTGAGACCTTCTGGGGTTGGTCACCACCTGGACAGACTTGAGTTGGTGAGATCCAGAAGAGCAGAAAAGATGGGGTTCCCAGACTGACTGAGGACAGAGGGGGTCCCAGAACAAAGGAGGGGGGTGTGTCTCACAGGCATGTCGCTGGGGATTGGGGAGCATTTGCTTTGCGAGGGAGTGTATTAGTGGCCAAGCACCACCCCTACTACTTTACTGGGCTTCCCCGGCCTGTCTCAACACTAACACCAGCATCCTTCCTCTCACTGCCCTGCCTGGTCTCTGCTCTGGTGACTCTTCCACTCTTGTTTGCAGTGTCCTCACTTCCATTTCCTAGCGGGGACCCGGCATTGATTCCTTCCTCCCTCAGGGAGCCCCTTCCTGGCCTGGCCCCAGCCCCCCTGCACACAGGCCTCTTACAGTTGCCCTGGTGGGACGCCCCCTCTCCGAGCCAGCTGCTGAAGCTGCTGATGGCCAGGCCGCCTGCCTGGGTCTTGATGGCCGACTTGAGATCATGGTTCTCACGAATGAGGTGCGCTAACTTCTTGAGTTCCTCATTTTCCCGCACCAACTTCTCGATCTGATGCCGCAGCCCCTCATAATTGGTGAGCAGAGACATGCCCCGGGCGACAGAGGGTTCGATTGTGAAGGGAAATACTTATGAGGCTGCCCAGGGCCCCGGGCAAGGCCCGGGATGGCCACTGTGGGATTTGCAAGGACAGCCTAGTAGCCAGTATTGTGAGGTCAGCACTGCCAGGCTGGCTGCCTGGGCCCTAGGCCATGGCCTGGGACGCCCACCCTCCTCTGTGGGTCTAGTCTCACTTTTGAGGTGCTGTTCCCCAAAGATGTCTCTGATCCCTGGACACTCCATTGCTGCTGCCTGGTGCCAGCAAGGCCTCCTGTCCACCACTCCTCCTGGGACCCCGCAGGGCTCTCTGGCATGTTCCCCTCTACTTTGCTCTGTGGACAGGAACTTCCCCCCAATGTGGGCCCTGTCGTCCAGTGACACCCCTGGCCAGTGTGGTGATGAGAGTGTTTGCTACTAGAGATCAAAACTCGCCTTCTGACCCTGGTCAGGCCTGCCCTCGGCTTATCTGGTGAGTCTGTCCATGTCCCATCCAGGACATTGTGCTGTCCCTTCTCCTAGATCCCTACCTGAGCCTGTGGCCCTGTGGCCAGGCCTGCCCAAGGCAGGTGGTGCAGGCCCATTGGTCCAATCCCCAGACAGCCGGGGGAGCCCCTGTGCTGGGTCTGCCCTCAGGTGCTTGGATCTGGGACATGTGTTGTCGGAGCCAGGCTAACTTGTTTGTTTTTTTTTGTTTGTTTTTTAATTTATTTTTTTTTAATTTTTAATTTTTTTTTTTTTCGGAGCCAGGCTAACTTGTAAAGCAAGATCAGCCCTGTACCGTAAGACCAGCAAGACTAACTCCATCTTGGCTAGAGCATCTGCTTGGCAATAAACAACTCAAGGAAGCAGGATGTTAATGAATAAGAGTGACCAAAAGTCTCAGACCTTAGGGAATGTAGTGTCCTTATCGACTGACCAAAGCCATTTGATCCTTAAAGCACACAATAAGGTATTCTGGAAACACCCTTCTATTGTGCTGAGGTTGGTAAATGTTAATGATTGCCTGGATAATTGACATCTTGAGATATAATGCCATTGTTACAGCAGAGGTACTACTAAAAGCCTATATATACTTTGTTTAAAGAATAAAATTCTGCTATTCACCATCAGCAGTAGCCTCTCTGCGTTTTCATTTAGTCCTCATCCCTTCTCTTGGCAGAACTGTTCAGTCAAATGGGGCAGGACCCTGTTAACGTGCCATTTTCCAGCTCTGGGCTTCATCCCTTTCCAGGCGTGAGCACAGGTCTTCACCACGTTACCCTCTTCTGGAGTTTCTGAAGGTCTGCAATCCCTGTCCACCGGCTCCCCCTCCACAGGATTCTGTGGACTGCCATCTTCAGGACTCTGGGAGAGGTAGCTGGGGGGCACCCAGGGACAGGCCAGGGGATTCCTGGGGGCTGGAAGGGAAGAAGCACCATGGATTGAAGCAGCCTGAGCATTCCGCTATACTTCATGATGGGGAGCCCCCACCCATCTGACACCTGAGGCTGTGACCTGAGGAGCTGGTGCAGCTGTCTTCAGTGAAGGGGGGTCCTACACTCTGCTGGGGTGCAGCCTTCAGCCCTTGTCCTATCAGTCTTGGCCCCCTCACCCTGCTGCAATGACATCTCTGCCTTCTCCTTCCCTTCTGCAGGCACAGTGTGGGCTGGGTGTCTGTGATGGGATGAGGGCCATGGGGGCCAGGGGCCATGATAGCACAGGGGCTGTGGGGCTGAGGTCTGTGATGGGTCAGAGGCTGGGGGAGCTGGGGACTGTGATGGGATGGGCACCATGGGGGCTGGGGGCCATGATGGGATGGAGGCCGTGATGGGCCGGGGGCCGTGATGGACGAAGGGTCGTGGTGGCCAGGGGCTGTGATGGGATGGGGACTGTGGTGGGAAGGGATATGTGGTGAGGGGACTTGGAGATTTGAGGACAACAGAGTGGGGAAGGGGAGGCTGCACACACAGCTCCTCCAAAAGGCTCTTGCTAGGCCCGACAGTGCACCATCCCAGCCAGACAGTGCCCAGGCCCAGCTGCCACACTGTCTTGGTGGCTTCAGAAGACCCCCTCAGCACCCAGGTCTCCTTTCTCTCCACTCCAGCTTTCTTCTCATCCTGATTTTCCCACTTTTTGGAACTGTGTCACTTATCAGCGTTTTTCCTTCTCGGTTTTTCACTGCTGTGACTGAGTGAAGTCCACAGAGCAGTCTGGTTCCCATGCGTTTCCTTGCTTTATGTTGCCGGTGTGGTCCTCATGTGGTGGCCATCTCTTCCTATGGCTTCAAGGTGACTCAGTTCCCTTCCTCAGTCCAAGTGTCTGTCTCCTGCCTGCGCTTGAGGCTCACACTGGAAGACAGTGCCCTTTTAAATATTTTTAAAAAATATTTTGTGGCAAAAAGCTGCACTGCAATCCCAGAGGTATGTGGTTCGAGTCCACCAGATGCTTTGCTGGAGAAGGAGGGACAATCTCCTCCCATACCAGTCAGATCTGATTTGATGGTACACACACAAAAGAAAAAAAATGTAAAAA